TTCCCAACCCCCCCCTCCCCCCCGCCACGACCGTATTGCAGCATGCTGGACCAATCAGAGGAACTAGAGTCCCGTACAGCATGCCCCCCCCAATGTTTGCTTTCCAGGCTGGAGCTTTTTTAAGCTGGGGGGCTGGCCCGTCTCGCATGGCCTGCTGCTCCACCCGGGGGTCCAGGGTCTGCCTGGTGGCACTGTGGTCCTGAGACCGTCCTCTGAAACACGCCCCAGCAAACATCGCCAGGGAGCACTTAGAAAATATAGAGACGATTTTATGAAGTACTTTCCAGAATATGGCTGGCTCCTTTTAAATGCAAATGGGGCTTGTTGGTTCTGATTTTCGAGCCACATCAGGGCGTGAACGGCAGGAACCCAGGAGAGACGGGATGGGAAGCCACCAGCACCCCCACGCTGGATCTAGCCCCACAGCTGATTTTCACAGACTGGGCCTTGCCAAATAATTATAAAAAATTCCAGGTTTCCATTCTTGCAACCTCCCATGACATCACTTCCTGTTTGGGCCACCCCTTCAGTGTTAACGACGTGCTGAAGCTGACAGTGGCTCTCGGCATCATTCTTGGGGCCTGATGGCCTGGCCCCAGCTAACCGCGTAAAACAGGACTGCGTCTTTATAGCTGTATATTCAATCATCTTTGATGGTGATACAGGGAAGTGCGTGCAGCAGCAGGAAGTGTTCCCCTAACTTCTTTGCTGGTCTTTGCCCTGCGGCTCCCAGTATCTTCCTGAGTCTTGTATCTTTCATCATTTCCTGTCCCTTCTTTTCTGCCCCTCCCCCCCAGGCTGAGAAGACCCCCGATGGGCCGGACTCAGGCTATGGCTCCTTCCACCAGCAGTACTGGCTGCATGGCCGCATCGTGGCTGTGGGGGTGGTAGATATCCTGCCCTCCTGCGTCTCTTCAGTCTACCTGTACTACCACCCTGACTACGCCAGTCTCTCGCTGGGCTCCTACTCTGCCCTCAGGTGGGTGCGTCCTCCCCCCCGGCTGCGTGACCCTGCACCCCCCATCCCCATGCTGGGCTGAAAACGTCTCCTGAGGCACGTTTGCCTTCCATTTCTTCTGGGTAATTAAGGAATGAAGAAAAAATGTTTTAGGTGTACATGTGAAAGGCCGTGAGGAGCCGATCGGCCCACAGACCGATGTCTGTGCGTTTGTGGGGTCCAAGTTTTAAGCTTCATTTGACAGAGTGGAATGAGTTACTTTTTAAAAGAGAATCTAATAGAAAATTTCAGCAAGTATTGAAATATAGGTGTGTGTGTGGGGGGGGGTTGTTTGTCTGTGTCTGTTTGTCTCTCTGTGTCTGTCTCTCTCTCTCTCTCTCTCTCTCTCTGTCTGTCTGTCTCTGTCTGTGTGTGTGTGTGTGTGTGTGAGAGAGAGAGAGAGGGGCGTCCTCACCCTGATGTTTGCACACAGACACCCTGTGCTCCCCTTAGCAGCCATGCCGGCTTGATTAACTCAGGCTGAATAAACACGCTGATCTCCGGCCATGAAGCAATGAGCTTTCCTTTCTTTAACACCCTTATTATTGCTAAGCGCTCGACTCCAAGATCAACAGGCTTTCCAGGCTGTGTGTGTCTGTGTGACTGTGTGTGCAAACCCAGGGCAGGAGTGGAAACACCCGATTGCCGAGGGGCGGTGTGTCCCCACGGCCGTGGCCCTTCAGGCCCTGCTTCCTCCGGGGCTCCCATCCCATCGCTGAACCTGAAAATCATCCCTGCAGATCTGTAGCACTCAGACGTATGTGTGTTAAACACTGAAAAGGACAGTGTGCTTCACTGTGAGATTGGGTAGACCTCCTCAGGACCTGCCTTGGGGTGACACACCCCCGCCCTTTGTCTCAGCATTATCCGGAGGTCCAGCAGCAGAACAGGCACTTTCCCTGTGTCCCCCTCCTCCACCCCCCTTTACAGTGTGAGGATCTTCTTGGGTGGATATAGGTGCAATGCAAATAGGAGTACAGCAGGGGGAGCCGTTGGGTGAGGTAGCACGCCGGTGCTTACTGCATTTCCATCTCAATGGTAGTGGCAGGCTGTTACCGTGGCGATCCCCCTTTCTCCTTGGGCTTTCAGGGGCGCGTTAAAGATTTTGTGTGTGTGTGTGTCGGGGGGTGTGGGGTGTCGTGGTCTTCAGAGCAGCTGCTGTCAGTCGTGTGCTTGCGGAGTATCTGCATGTGTATGTGTGTGGCTTATGGCTGGTCGGGCACCTTTGCGTGTTCAGCAGCCTGCGGTAGCACATGTGATGCGTGTTCTTGTATGCGTGTGTGTTTTTGAGAAGAACATGGAGCAGAGCCCGGATGGGGCAGCCTAACCACGTTCACCTCACCCAGAAGCCCCCCGATTTGGCCTGTGCTGGGGTGTCAGGTCTGTGAAAAGGGATAATGGAGGACTCTGCTGCCTTAGGGGGGTTGGGTGGGGGGGCGCTCAGCTTTTTTGTGAATGGGAACCCCCCCAACACCCCGACTCATTCATGGATGGTCCAGGCTTTGTCAGGAGGGGATGGGAACCGGCAAGACCGGCTGACCTTCTGTCCCCCCCACCTCACCCCCATTCTCTCCCCCCTCCGAGACCAACAAAAAGAGCCACCCCCCCTGCCCAAGCCCGAGATGTGGTAAAGCAGTAGATGGGTATAATGGGAGAAGAAAAACAAAGGCGGGATGGAGGGAGTGATGGATCGATAATTAAAGTGGACGGCGATTCAGAAACGGGGGAAGCTAAGTGCGAAAGCGGTAAATAAAGCGTTTTTAAAGCGCCCAGAGCACCTTGGACCGCTGCTTTAAATCGCTGTCTCTTCTAGCCAGTTTCTCGGTTGGGGGGCCTGTTTTCACATTTCTCTTCCCACCATTGTTTTCCTCCCCCCTGCAGGGAGATCGCCTTCACCCGGCAGCTACAGAAACGCACCCCCCAGCTTTCCTACTACTACCTGGGCTTCTACATCCACTCCTGCCCAAAGATGCGTTACAAGGTATGCCCCCCCGACTGCCCCTGTGACACCTGAACCCAGCTCAGCTCCAGTGGCATCTGCCTGAATAATTTAACAGAAACTGACCATCCAGTGGGGGTGGGCGCGCGGCGGTGGCATATGCCTCAGCAGGTTAGGGCTCTGTGCCTGTGATCGGAAGGTTGCTGGCTCGAATCCTAGGTTCGGCAGGCTGATGCCACTCTCAGGACCCTGTGCAAAAGCCCTAACCTCTGGGGGCACTGCATGCTGGCTGCTGTGAACCCCCACCCCACCTGTATGTCTCATGGAGAGCAAGAAAATTTCCCCATGGACAGTAGCAGTTTGGTTCATCAGTGATTCATGGAAGAAGATTTTTCTGAAGATGGAGTAGAACAGAAATGGCATCCATCCACCATAGCCACTTACCCAGTAGAGGTTCTCCGTGAGCCTGAAGACGCCCTGGACCGGATGCCACTCTGTCGCAAACACGCCCAATGCTGCCAATTCAGAGAGAGGTTCTCGACGTGCTTTTAAGACTGTGGGAGCAAATCCACGCAGCCTGGGGTTGAACACACAAACCCCGCATGCCGATGGCTGGGGTCCAGAACTTCACTTGGCACTGAAAGTTGCGGCCTTTGGGTGGGTGTTTGCTCTGGACCGTTATTTACAGCCACATTAACACACGAAGGTCCCCAGAAGGGTGAGGCTAAACTGCTTCTGCAGAAACAGGCCAGCTGCGGCGGGGACCGCTTTCAGGATGACCCGGGCAGAAGCTCAAGGCCTGCGGGGAGTGGGGGCTTGGAGAGCGGTCCGACATTAACTGCTGTACAGTCTGGATTGCTCTGGGACTCACCGTCGTGTCCCTGCGGATACGCAGTGTATTCTTGATTATGTAAATTGTGTGTGGGGGGGGGGGGGAAACCGTCACTGCTGCAAGCAGATCCATTCGGTCTTTACAAAACTGAGCACCCATTAGGGAGCGTAGATCAGTGTACTTGGATCGCCTTTGATCTGTTGCAGGATTATTAGATCAATAGACGAGAAGAATAATGGGGGATTTCTGGGGAGGAACTTCCTAAGGGGGCTACACACGTGTTGGTGTCCCTGTGGCGCAGGGTGAAAGCAGACTGCCTCATAACCTGCAGTGTCATTTCTTTAGCATTGGGGAGGAATTTGGACATGCTCCCTTACAGTCTCTATCCTTCACTAAACAGCAGGTTGGATCTTTTCAGGGTGTTTATGGTTTGAGATTCTCACTTTTCCACAATACCATAAAGAACTCTGAGCTTTATGGATGTGAAGTGATGTGGCATTCAGTTATAAACTTCAGCAGGTGTTTGTGGTGAGGCCTCAGGGAGACCAAGAAGCAAGGATGTCCACAGTCCTCCTGTAACCAATCAGCTAGAGGTGTGAAGCCACATGGTACCTCTGCCGTATCCCTCCCTCTCGTGAGAGTGGTGCAGTTCTATGTTATAGCTGTGGCTCTGCATCTTACATTTTCATGTTCTCCAGCCTTTTGGGGAGAGAATTTAAGGCATAAACGCTGTGTTTTTGGATTTTAGTATGAGACACTGGCGGAAAGTTCTCTGTGGCCTGGTTCCTCCATCCGCTGACTTACAGGTGTGGAGAGGGGAAAGCCATCCTGAGCGGCAGGCATGTTCTAATGGCAATAACATTGCTGTAAAACCAGACTACGCTGTAAATCTGGACGGGACCAGAGCTGGAACGGAAGCAAAGTCGAATCCACACGATGGAACCTGAAATGGCTTCTCTCTGTGCAGTGGCCCACGTCCTGCGTGCGTAGGATGTAAATATTGTAAAGTGAAGCTGCAGAGATGTACATTAATGCCAAGGAGGGTGCAGGACCTGTGAAGGGGGTTGTAGGGCTGGGATCTGAGGGGAGGGCAGCTGGCCGATTGGTCGAAATGTGTCAGCTGATGGTGTCAAGAATGTAAATATTACTGGAGAGCTGAGGAACGTACCAGGTGGGGATTGGTGGGGGGGGGGATGAAGGAGCTGCTGAAGCCATTAGCAGTTGAGGGAAAGGTCAGAGATGGGATGGCTACCGTAACTCAGCAGAGCTGCAGTGGAGAGTGGCTGTCCAACAAATTTGAGCACACCGATATTCACACTGTTCATTGTGTTTGAATAGCAAAAAAAGAAAATCATGTGCATATGATTGCATGCACCCCCATATACAGTTTAAGATGTGCCCACAGAGATACGAAGGGAGGTGTGTCACAAGGTAAATAGTCCGCAGCTTGTTTTCCTGCTGAGAGGAAGCTTCCTTGTTCATTACTCCTTTCATTTATTAAGGCCTCTCCTCCCCCCCTTTGGTCGTTCTGACATGGCAGCCAGTGAATGTGTTTTCCCCCCGATGCTTAATTCCATCTATAGATGCCGCCACATCCACAGCCCCCCCCCCCCCCACTGTGTGGCTGGTCGTGTGCCGTGTGCTTAGATTCCTCAGCTCGCCGTTGTCATTCTTGGACTGATCGCCAGACACCCCCCCCCCCCCCCCCCCCCCCCCCCCCCCCCCACACCCCTCCCGGCCCCACAAACTCACAGATTCAAGCAGTTCCCTCCATTCCAATTGGTTCTGCCAGTTGATTCAATACCTGCATCCCCGCCCCCTTGCACTCTACGGGAGATTGCAGGGTGAGAAGGTCGCCCAGTTCCCACCCACAGCCCGAGGTTTGTTCCATCGCCGATACAACGGCAGACTTAGCAAGTAGCTAATTAAGGCTGTGCCTGGCCTAGGCGGCTGTTTGCATTCCAGAATGTTCTGTGCTGGCAGGCGCATCATTGGCAGAAACCGTTTCCCAGCCAGAGCGAGAATGTCCCCACCCCTGGTGAATTTTCAGACCTGCATGTATGGCGGGCCTGCATCTGATTGGCTGTTGCTCCTGCCTGGGTTCCGCGTTCCCCGTCTCTCGTCCTTGTGGCTGGTTCTCCGCTTGATTGGAAATCTCAGTCAAACGTTACAAACCTCAGGGCCTGAAAACTTCGTCTGGCACTATCCCCACGCCGTGTCTCTGCTTCCAAGTCTCGCATCCAAGATGGCCCCTTCTTCGATGCAAATCTAAAGTGTTGTCTAGGCGGTGTATCCTCCTGTCGAAAATTTTTTTTAATTCTAATTTAAAAAACACGCACCCATATGCCTGCACGCTACTGAAGTCGGCCCCTTTCTTCCTCGCGGCGATCTCCTCCCTCGTTTGTTTTTCCGACAGCCGTCGGGCTTTTCCTGGGCCAGAAATGTGTCCGATCAGCTGATAATGAAGCTGCGAGCAGTGGTTTCGGTCTGGAGCTTCTCTCTGAGTGGGGGCCAGCTCCCCCGAGCTCGCGCGCGCCTTTTCCTGTATTCTCTCAGCCAGGTGTTTTGACGTCCCGGCCTTTCACAGGCAAGGCACGGCCAAAGACAGCAAATGGAGACTCTGCCAGCTCCCGTTTTTCCCGTACGGGGCTGGACGGGAATGTGCGGGTATGTGGGGGGGAGATTCGAGGAGCACGCGTACGCGTTGGGGCTCTGACTGCGCTGGGATGTCATCCGGGTGGCTGGGGCAGGTGTACATCGTACATCCCCCTGTCCTGCGGGAGGCATTTGTTAGCACTTGAAGACTCTGAACAACTGTACTTATAAGCTTTAAGTGGGTGTCTATCATTGTTCTAGAGAGAAAAATTAAGCTGACTTGAATGTGCTGTATCGTAACACCCAAGTACTGCTGCTTATGAATAACTGATTGTTTTTAAATGACTTAATGTAACATCAGAGACCCTGCTGGGTGGTGAACCCACAGCCTTTAGGCCAGGGGTCTCCAACTCTGCTCCTGGATAGCTACTATCCAGTAGGTTTTCTGTCCCACTTGGCTTCTGATGAGCCATACCTGCTCCTGGTATTTACCTGAGACCTGGTGTGGCTCATCAGAAGCCGGGTAGGATAGAAAACCTCCTGGATGGTTGCTCCCCAGGACCGGAGTTGGAGACCCCTGCTTTAGGCTATGAGCCTAAGTTCTTTATTGCTATGCTACCTACTGAAACTCTAAATCATCTTCATCTTGTAACCCAGATTTTAAAATGTGTATTCTGCTTCTTTCTATGCCTAAGGGGCCCTTATTGCACTTAAAATAGGTGATTAACTTATGCTAAACTCATTACATACCTGCAGTGTCCTACATGTTATGTCCTGCATTCTTCATGTAAAGGCATCTTTGGAAGTTGACCTCTGGTGGTCACAGATGGGATTGCACAATCCTTCTATGGTTGTATAGACGCTGGTGCAGCAGTATTTTGCATGTTGGTCTTTTTGTGTAGAGCTCATTCTTAAGCACATTTGCCCATTTATGCAGTGAAACATATTGTGTCAGCTTGTTCTATAATTTTCATCGCACAGCAGGTGGCGATTAGGGCTTATGTCAGCTTCTTCAGCAATGGAAGCTGGGATGTTTTTGTGGGAAACAGTAGATTGCATTTGGGGGAAGCAATAACGTATGATGCTGAGTAGAGCAGCCCTGTGTGCAGTATGCTTATAAAATCTGTGACCTCCTTAAGGTCATAACTACATTCAGTGCACCTGGGACTTCAGCTAAATCCAGTGGTGGACTGTGCGGTTTCCTTTTACCCCCTAGCTGCACTGATGGGTATCCTGCTGTCGCTGTTATCCAGACTGCCGTGTGTTTCAGTGGGTTAGGGTTAGAGCACTGGGCCTGTGATCGGAAGGTTGCTGGATCGAATCCCGCAGTTGGCAGAGGGGTTCAGCCTTTGGGCCTCTGAGCAAGGCCCTTAACCCCCATTTTTTCCTAGAGATTCTCTGACCCTTGAGGAAACGGCATCTGCTCAGTAAATAAATGTAAACTGCCCCCTTTATCTCAGGGCCTGTATCACGAAGCTGGATTTTTTGGTTAACAAGGTAACTTGTTAGATTTGACGTAGTTTGGGCTAAGGTGAATGACGTTAAAGTAAAAAAAGTTAGTTAAATTGGAACTGAGGTTCCTTAAATCAAGCAAGTTATCTAGGTAACCAACAAA